AATAAAATATTATTCACGTTAAAATTATACGCATGCGTTGAGTTTTGTTCATCACTTTTTGTAAATCTTCCAAAACTTTTCGGCCATAGAGAATTAATTGTTAACACCAAAACCAATAAAATGATCAATTGATAATTTTGTTTAGAAAAGAGACTTTCTACAGACTTTTTAAATATTTTTAGAGACCTGAGTGATTCTTTTTCTGTTTCTTTTACTTTAACGCCTCTGTTGGAAATTTTATGCTTCACTTGTCGATCAGTTTTAGTGTTAATTATGAGTCTTCTGGGGGTTTGACATATTCCAACTAAAATTTCTCGTCCTTCAGCCAAATCCTGCACAAACTGTGAACCAAAAAGATCTCGATCTATTACAAATGTACACACGTACGCTTATCGATTATCGTACTCTTGCAACGCGATTGCAACGTTGTCGATGCACCGTGGACAGTCTGATAGTATCATGCGTTCGGCGAACGGCAAGAAACAGTGTAATTCCGCTCGCGAAGTTCACGCGATTGTCGTCGCGATTCTGCTTATGTAGTAATGACTCACCGACCCGGTTCGACCGGAACGTAGCTCATGCATGCATAGCGTCTCCGTCTTTCGAGAGCGCATCCGGAGGAATTCGTAATACCTTCGTCCAATGCTGCGCCAAGCTGCCGCGTGCGGTATGAATTGCGATTTGTCGGGCCGGAGTTATGGCCGTCCGATATTGGATCGCGGCTAGAATTACTTGGAATCGAAACGGGACCGTTTCCTGGCTATCCCGCGGGACTGGTGAATAAATACGCGCGAGAGAAGACGTGGATTCTTTTCACGGTATTAATATTTACGCTTCGACGGGCTGGAACCTGGGACCATCTTGAAAACGATCCCCGACGTTCGGATTGATGATGATTTCTTGTTTGGTTTCGCTGGCAGTTGAGATTCAGCTTTCTTGAATTTTTGAAGACAGGCTAACCATAAGATATTCAACTGCTCGGAAATTTTGAGAAGCGTGTTTGAATGACAAAAACGTCTTCGAGATAATGGAGATTTTATTCAGGGTATAGTTTTTTGTGATAAATTATGATATAGCGCGGAGAAATTTATTTCGCTTAGAAAATAAAGGATGCTCCAAAATTTCGTGGCTACAAACACTATGTTTTTTTTTCATCGAGTTTTACGTTTCATTTTTACGGCGTGGCAGAATTTCGTTTGTGTGGATTTGAGATAAACGGTTCGTGCAATGAGAGTTCACTTGTCCAACGATTTTTTAGTTTATCGTGAACCTCGATAAAGCACGGTCAGGAGCACCAGACATTTTCTAGACAGAATATACTTCAACCACGTTAAGGCATCAAAGAACAGCAACAAGCTACGAGTTGTCCTCTCGCCAGACAATTTTTAAATGACATGTTGCAATTTCAGACATCCGCTGGATAAAATTATTTCGCTTTTACGAAAGAAACAAAATGTTCGTAGAATCTCGTTGCGTTGAATTTCATATTCTCAAACGTAAAAAACTTTTCTCATAAAGAAAAAAAAAAAAAAAAAAAAAAGAAAGAAAAGACGTGTCCACAGATTTCCGTTTAGACTCGAAAACCACGAGAGAGAGAGAAGTGGGTCACGAATTTCCGTCGACACTGAAGGTTGGTTTTAGGCTTGTTGTCATTTTACGCGGTGGTCTGAGAGTTCGATGGCTTTACGAATCGTTTACACGGAAAGTAGGGTTCATCGATCGAGGTGAGGCGCTATAGGGAGTCGCTTACGTGACCTGAACTTTCGTTTCGCCGCTGGGTCGGACAAAGAGGCCCGTCCCTTTTCTCATATTCATGGTAAACACACCGTGTACGGGCTGGTTCGTTAAATCAAGCCTACCGTGGCTAATTCGCTTTAACGCAATTTCACCTGGTTTTATTTTTTTCCAACTCGAGCCACGCGACTGATGCTCGCCAAGGCTCGGGGCGCGCTCGCTTCTTCGCAAGGGCGACACCCTTCTGCCTGCACAAGTGTACACTATCGTCCATAAGTATTTGGAAATGTGTAAAATATATACCTCGACTTATGCAGTTTCTCTTACTTATTGATATTCTTTTTCTGGGTATTCACCTCTGTTGTCATATAAATCCTACCGACAGAGAGGGTAAATAACATCGATCGATGTAAATAAGAAAATAATAATTGAAAATGGACGGAAATTTATTCTGTGAAGACTAAGCAATTAATTTGAAACGTTCATCGAGAAATATAATTTTAGCGACTATTTCAAAAGTCTTCAGAAATTTTCCAAGTACATTACGAATAAACTTGAATGATGTTTCCTTGTTTTAGTCTCAATTCACAATCAGTTGTCATTTGGACGAGGATCAATGCAAGAGATAAAGAATTATCAAAATTTCATTAGAAGTTGTATCGTAAAAGTTGAGAATGCAACGAAAATATTAATCCTTTTAATCGAATTGTACCGACTACCTGAATATAAACGTTTATTTATGGACGGTATTGTACAAAATTGCAGTTGACTAAATGCAACGAATTTCCCTCGCGTTCATGTACACACGGGAGGGAGTTGTCGCAACGTAACCGGACTTTTCATTCGGTCAATTTGCCCCTTTCGTTGCGTGTTAAACTGTTCAATGGCGAATCTCTGGCGCAGGAGAGAAGTGAAGTGTGGGCATCGGGTTCTGGTAGAATTGAGATTGATAAAGGGAAAATGTCACAAAATGACGCGGCTCGGCGAGGGCTCGTGACGCGAATATCTCGACCTTACCAGCGGAGGGTTAATATTAAATGCAACAATGGAAGCGTTCTCGCGGAAAAAAGCTTGCCCTTGGTAAATACCATCGGTTCGCGATGGTCCGGCGTTGGAATGTTGGAACGTTGGAACGTTGGCGCTCCAACGTCGAGCATTTAGTATGAGTTCCGGTGATATAGAGCGTTCCTTCCTCTATTACATCTTCTCTGTGAAATCTCTGACCGTGATGAAAGTGCCGGTTATCTCCGGCACTGTGCCGCTGCGTTATCTCGTGGCTGTTAAATTCGTTGCTGCCAGAAATATCCACGACTTCAGCAAATATTCGGGTCCAACGTTGAGTAAATCTTTGACCCTTCTTTTGTATTTTTACGGAGTTTAGTTGCTGTTACCAGGGATGTTGTTAATTCTGTGTATTTAATTATTAAATGGTCTCGAATTTTACGTTTACAGTTCGAGTTTAATTTGCAAGTGGGATTGTTAAGTGGACTGGATTGAAATTTAAAACTCTAGCCTGTTCTGTCTTAATATTTTAATTGCCTCCGCGAATTCCCGCCAATTTAAAATTAGAATTCCAGAGAATTGGAGAATTCGAGGAAACCTATTCAAAATTAATTTAAATTTGGACGATCCGCTTGAGAGTTATAAGGGGTTAGTGATCTTGTACTTCTGGGAGAATTTCGTTACGATTTTCTGTTTATAAGATAGATGCAGGTGAGAGCGACAGAAGACTAGGAAAAGTTGGCAGACTTTTTTCTCGTTGGAGAAATTGCGGGGGTTGCGAGATCACCGACGAAGTATATGAATAGACATTGCACCTTACGGAATTTTGTGGCCCATGACCTGAAATACCGACATACTAAAAAATCACTGGCTTTTTAGCACACTCTACGTTTAGACAACAGTCAGTTGGGAAACTAGTGAATGAACCACCAATATAATCTTTCAGACGCACTACAGAGTTGTCAAACTTTCAATTTTCGAAATATAAAGCCCGTCTGTAACAATATCAAGTAAAATAATATAAGCAAAATGTTTAATTGTATCTCTAGATTCCAAAACACGAGATTAATATTTAAAATTATTATCCATCTTTTACCATTATTTATGTCTGTGTCAGAAAGAGCTCTATTCATGTTTCACGAATTCATCAATTGGTTTTTCGCTAGAAACGATAAAATTAACACATACAACAGGATGTTTTATTTACTGCAGTACATAGGGACGAAATTTAGAGTAGATCTGATATTTAATCAAAAGGGAGACGTAGAATAACTCTAGTATGCCGAATTGAGGTTCGAGCATTTAAAGGCAAGATTATTAATTTCATACCAAGTTCAAAAAACGTGTCTTTGTACAGAATGTGCTCACAATGAATTTACAAAGATTAACTAAAACTGAACGCACGCAACTTAAGTCTAAGACGCACGCAACTTAAATCTAAGCGCACGCATCCCACGATGTCCCTCGTCGTCCCATGGTGCCCCGCCGGGGGGTCTAATATTTTACTTATCAACTAATCGTTCCTACAGTTCAATTTAGATCTAAACTGAACTGTAGGTTGCGTAGTCCTTAGCTTGATATCGTTTTACAAACATTAAAGTTTATCGTTCATCGTTTTATAATTTAGTTTTA